TTAATACTCCTACACTACAACTTACTTCGGGTTCTATCTGGACTAACTATAGCATGTGTTTTTAATTTTTGGTGATGATTTTTTAATCACAAGTTATCTTGGTTACTGTATCTGACACCTCTGGAGTTTGTCCACTTCTCTTTTTCGTTTTTCAGGCATGGAAGAAATTATGTTTGATCTTTTTATCTTAATTACAGATATTGGGTTGTTATAGATGGTCTTGTAGTTCCTAGTTTGTCGACTTCTTCGTTACCCAGAATTTCTTTATTCGCTGGTATCTAAGATATTGCAAATTCACTATTTTTCGTGGTCCGCTTGACTAATTAATATCATTCAATTAATTAAGGTTTTTAGTTGAGGTAAAAAAGTCAGTGTCACGAGCGGGATTCGAAACCACGACCTGCGGCTACTGACGCCGCTGCGATACACGACATTTGAAAAATGGCAAAAAGGAGGGAAAATTCAAAAGGTGGGGTTCAGATGGGAAGTTAGTGTCCGAGTAGATCGAAGTCACGATAGCTCAAGTGGTAAAGCACTCTTTTTTATCTCAACTAAAAACCTTAAGTAATTGAATGATATTGAAAATTGTTACTTTTTCCTAGGTGTTGGAAATTTTGGATGCATGCACCGACTATTTTGGATGTGACTTTTTACGTGCGAGTACTTTTACGATATATATGTTAAGTTTTCCTACGACATAAGCATTGATAGCACGCATTTCTAAAAATTCCTAGATTTTCTCCCTAATGAGTGCATAGAATATATCATATCGGGATCCTTAATTTCTGTTGAGCCATCTGTATACAAAATAATTATGTTTGATTTTATCTCCTACTTTCACATTTTCTCTCTAAAAACATCATAGAATGATGCAACGAATGTTTCCGGGATTATACAGGAGTCCCCATTTCATAAAATGAGTGTCTGATTATTTTTGTTCTTGTTGCATGCACCTAAGACTCCCACAAGTATTGCGGACGAGGAATGAGAATATGTTCTCCACAATGAGAGGCTTCGAATAAGATTCTTTCTCAAAAATGGCTGATTTTCTTATAAATTTTATCATAAATGACGTCAATACTAATACAAATGAAGCTAGGGGGCCAGGATGCACAAATTCATCGGATCAATATTTCGGTATAAATATTAAATCGATTTGTGTATAAATATCTTTTGTATTTATGTTTTATACCACCGTTAAGTAAATTTATTGTTTGTTTACATTATGATTCAAATCAATATTTAATTATTATTGCATGACATGTCACTTCTCCAATCGATTTAGTTCGCCCACAATATTCATGGACGACTACTTCACACCAACCAACTTCTCATTAACATTTCACGCACCTTTCACTGACATCTAGGCAAGGAAGTACCAGGAGTTTACATACATCGATGTCCCATCTAGTAACATATATTATGTAGGGATTGGTGTGAGAACGAGACAATAAGATTGATAAAACACGTCGCCGAAAAACAAATTATATTTTACACTCCTGTTATTGAGAACATACTGACAACGAAGACCTAACTACTCACTACCTAACTTCAACTCACAACTTTCGCCTGGGGACGATCTTTCTACTTTTCCGCTAACGGGAGACTTCGAGGGGGATTCTGTATCCGCTGTACTATATCAAATCACTCGATACCGATCCTTTGACAAAAATACGACCGGTTCATCATACCCAGAATCATTCCGTCATTAATAATTTTTGATGTGTAATAAGAGGTGTACCGTTTAAATAATCGGACTGTAAAAAAGGTAAATTATTTTTGTCGTTGATATGAAAAAAGTACACAAAAATTTTCAACAAAAAGAAAGAAAACTATAATTACCCAGTTGTTTGTGAAAACAGCCAGAATATGTCGTTTTCCCGATCATTCCTGACACATGCGATCCAGTGTTATCAAGTATAGGAATCGATCCATCCCCATTCACCAAACGAGGGTTACTACTGTTTTTTTTCTTTTTTGTAATTCATATCATATCACATCGTTCCTGCCGTAATGATTTCGCAATGTTCGAATGGACTACTTTTAAAAACAATTTATTATACAGAAAAGATGACATACATGTAGCTATTTTTTAAATTAATTAATTTGAAATGTAAAAAAACTGGGGTTAAAATTATGAGGTATGATTTCTTAGTTTAAGATTATAACAATTTCTAACGCATGAATGATAAACAATTTGAAAACCATCAGGAGATTCAGAGTCTAAAGAGAGTGATAAAATAAGCACTAAGATAACATAATAAAAAATTATTAGAGATTTAATAAGGATAAATCTAGTTTTATGTGAAGAGAGTGGAGACTTGGCTATATCTTTTTAATAATAGGACTCACATGGTCAAGCCATGTAAGCTTGGAGTTAAAAATAACGCCACGATTTTTACCTTTAAGATAAATGTTTATAGAGGAGTGTTTAATATGAGGAGGGTTTAGGCAATTTATATTAATGAGGTTTTAGAAATTAATAAAGAATGGCTTTATTACTTGGCCATTAATTGACATCACGAAGATCACGGTTGCTTTAGAGATGTTGCTTTTAGACGTTGAATGTAAAGCGTATAGATTAATTTGGGAAAAATTAGAACTACCAGAAGATCATTTAGAAACATGGAAAAGAGCAAGGGCCCAGAAATGGAGCCTTGTGGTACACCAACTGAAATTGAGGGAGAAGAGAAGATAAAATTTGAAGCTTTATCTCTCTGAGGAGGAAATATATTTAGTAGCACTAAAGAAACAAAAAGATGCGTCATTTTCCAAATAAGTGGATTACGATGCGGCGAATACACTGGAAAAATCAAGTGGAACAATTATAGTACACTTATTACCATCAATGCCTAGGCGGATATCATCTTCTATTTTGAGAAAAACTGTTTATGAACTATGAAATTTTCGGAAATCCGATTGAAAAAGGAATATGAGGGCATGGGAGTGAATAAATAATGATATTTGTTTAAATAGTATATTGGCAGTGATGGGAGAATATAATAAGGTGGTAGTTACTAAGAAGGGTGGGCTTAGTTTGGGTAAAGCTTCTTTCCAGGATGAAAGACAACTAGATGAGGTAGGGATTTTGGTATTATATTGGCTCCAATCCGCACATATACCGATATGTACCGAGTTGAGCATATTTGCTTTCGTAGTCCAGCGGCAATTCCAGCTTTTACTGTGTACAGTAAGCCGGCAGACTTGATAATCACCCACCCCGGGTGTTTGCAGTTTGAGGTCAGACCTCGGTCATCCGTCCAACCACCGAGCTGGGGGGTGCTGTGAACATTTAAGTCAATTCAGGACCCTAGGCATTTCAAACCCTTTGCTCAATATTACCCTTTACACATGTTATAAAACTAACCTTATTGAGGGTAGATGGGTACATTCCGCCGTCGACCCTCTCACGTCAAGCATTCACGCTAATAAATATATCAGTTTTATCACAAGCTAGGTATACACAACTAATAATTACTTACAATAGAACGACCCTGTTTCTTCCTAGAATCGGAGATGAGGTAGGGAGAAGTTCAAATGTGGGTTATGTGTTGTAATGTAATAGGAAAGAAAAAATAAAGGAATAAGATAGGAACATGAAACATTAGATAGCTATATCGGTTTAGCAATCGGAGAAAATATTCAGCTCTTTTCTCTTTGTCGATCCTATATCCAATCGTTTCACTCAAACTATGGATTTTTAAATATTTGAAATACACAATACAATTTTGTTTTATTTCCTATTCCATGTGAAATATGGTGATTTGACAATTTGCTTGTTGTTTTATAAATAGGATGTTAGCTAATATTTTATATAAAAGTTGTTGTCGTTGGACGAATTTTCATGCTTTGTTGGTTACTTGTTTGCGAACAGCCGTTCTCGAATTGTTTCATTGTAACAAAAGCATTAGGATAGACGTGAATGCATAAAGTTTGAACTGCATTTGTTTGCAATATCAATTCATTTATATAATACATTGTATTATCGACATTTATGATGAACATGTATAATTTAGTCATGTTATTTTGTCATTGATAAAAATCGTTTCGATCGTCGTCAAACATACATTGCACATCTTAATGAGAAGGTCTTAGCTGATAAATGTTATACACAATTTTATTTGATTTTCGTGATCCGCTTGACCAAATAAATTATTTTCGTTTAATTAAGGTTTTAGATGAGATAAAAAAGTCAGTGTCACAAGCGGGATTCGAACCCACGACCTTCGGCTAAATACACCTCTGCTGTACCACTTGAGCTATCGTGACTTCGATCCCCTCGGACACTAAATTAACACACACTCCCTTCTCAACCCCACCTTTTGAATTTTCCCTCCTTTTTGCAGTTTTTCAAACGTCGTGTAATCTATTTAATTCTTGGCGACAAATGAAATGGCCACGGAGAGCTATAGTGAAGTATAAAACATTTTGCTTATTACATTTTATTAGGTTTCGTGGTCCGCTTGACAAAATAAATTAATTTCGTTTAATTAAGGTTTTGGATGAGATAAAAAAGTCAGTGTCACAAGCGGGATTCGAACCCACGACCTTCGGCTAAATATGCCTCCGCTCTAACACTTGAGCTATCGTGACTTCGATCCTCTCGGACACTAATTAACACACACTCCCTTCTCAACCACACCTTTTGAATTTTCCCTCCTTTTTGCAGTTTTTCAAACATCGTGTAATCTATTTAATTCTTGGCGACAAATGAAATGGCCACGGAGAGCTTTAGTGAAGTATACAACATTTTGCTTATTACATTTTATTAGGTTTCGTGGTCCGCTTGATCAAATAAATTCTTTTCAATGAATAAAGGTTTTGGTTGAGATTGAAGTGTGTTCATTTATTTTCCACCACTAACCAAAATAAATACATTTTTCGGTGAGAAACATCTGACTTACTCCAAAATCCAAGGACTTTGCTAAAAGTATCAGCCTCATTTTTTGCGGATATGACTATTTCGAAAATATTCATTCACTTTCGCGTTGGTGGTGTAGCTCGTATCGCGGCTGAGAGGAGACCGGAAAGAAGGACGAGACCGTTCGAGGTCGCTATGTGTCGAGAAGCTGGCTGCAGCCATCATCAGGCCGGGGTTCGTAGACCCCACCTGCATCGTCGCCAGGGATCTCAACTCGCTGCAGCGTCGAAGAGCCTCTTCTGCAATGTAAGTTTCAACATTAAACTCGAACTTATAAAACGCTGAATTTTTTTATATATTTAATCTTTTATTATCTATCTTTATTTTAAACAACTTACAGAAAAATTATGAGTTTTTCTTGGGGTTCCAAGGGTAATTAAGCTGTTGTTTTCAATTATTTAGGTGTAGGTAGTTATCTCTGTAAATTAAACTAAAAAGGGACGTTATTATTATTTGTAGTTTTTGTTAGCCGTTCCGGAGTAATCACCATTTTTATGATTTTTGACAACAATCCAAAGTTCCGTTTGATAAAGAGAATTTTTGGTTTCCAAAAAAACAGCACTTAGGTTTTTGAAGAGCGAAAACCGAATATCAAATTTGTTTCTTTATAAAACATTTTAGCTCGGTCAAAAATAATGCATTTCAACATCAAGCATACCATCTATGTGTACCTGCCAATTATAATTTTCACAGTGATCGAATGACGTTTTTGGGTTTACTAAAATCTTATTGGCAAAAACGCTTGGATACGTATGTATATATTTTTCGGCCTAAAAAACGATAAAGCAGTGACACCACGTACTCAACATCCTCTCGTTAAATTAATTAATCTTTATATAAGGTAATGGTTGAGATAAACAAGTGTCACGAGCGGGATGACCCGCGACCTTCGGCTAAATACGCCGCTGCTCTACCACTTGAGCTATCGTAACTTCGAACCACTCGGACATCAACTTCCCATCTCAACCCAACCTTTCGAATTTTCCCTCTTTTTTCCATTTTTCAAATTTTATCTCAACCAATACCGTACATAAAGTTTAATTAATTGAAAGATGTTATTTGGTCAATGGGACCACGAAATCTGGATCCTCTCGTTAGTACAATTTGTGCTCTAATGAACTACAAGATGAAATCGACCATATTGTGATGATGATGAAGTGGGGACTTTTGTTCCCCAAGCTTCTGCCTTCTGGCTTATTATACTTTCTTGTTCCTTAGTTCAGTGCTATCGACTCGATCCTTCTCTTAAGAAGTGCTAGGTTATTGGCTGTCGTTGGTACTATTTATTTTCCATGTGTTTTCTTTCTATAACAGGTTATTTCTTCATTTTTCGGTTGATACATATTCGAAGATATGGGTTGCTGTTTCTCCCTCCTCATTGTATAACCTACAAATGGGATCATTATTGAATATACCCATGTTGTGTAGATGTTTTCTCAGATGTTCAGTAAAATATTTTATCACCTTTCTGAATTTAGCCCTCTTTTACTGTAGCAGTGTTTGCCGGTCTTGGTGAGGGTTGTTTTAGCTTAAGCGTATCGCGTCTAGCACCCCTGGAGTTCATATATTCCTTTTGTCTTTTTTGGATCTATTTCGTGGTAAAAGATTCTGTGTTTTTGTTACCCCAAGAATAGGCCAGGGCATATGTATGATCTTGCAGATCCTCCTCCTGTCAGTGCGTATGCTTTTTCGTTACACAAAATAATTACGTTGTGTCATAGTATCCAATATACAGGGTGAATTGCTACTCGTGCTACAAACTTCTCCAGTAGATTCTTCACCCTAAAATGAACAAAAAAGTTCATATTGTCCATGGTCCGATTCTCAACCATTTCAGAGTAATTTCGCTTTTTATCGATTTTGAAAGATATCACGTCCTGGCGTCGGAAAATCGTGATATCTTTTAATCTAAACATTTCTCT